AGATGTCGCATGCTGTGGCCGAGCGCGTGCGGGAGGTGGGAGCGGGTTCTGAGCCTCATCCGGGCAGGGTCTGGGAGCCCATCGCCGAGGCCCCTGGAGGCTACTCTGGCCGGGCCGGATCCAGGAGGTGGCACCCTGCCCGCCATCCCGAGCCCTTTGGTGGCGTATCTCCTCTAACTCCCAGGACCCGTTCCCCTGAACCTGTTTCCTCTTCTCTCCAGTGGGAACTCATTCTACAATTTTAAATAATATTATTGGTGGATTTGAGAGAGAGAGAGAGATAGAGAGATAGATAGATGCATGCATTGGCTGACTCTTGTATGTATACCCTGATTGAACCTGCAACCTTGGTGTATCCGGACAAGGCTCTAACGGTTAGAGTCTAACCAATTGAGCTACTCAGTCCTCGCTCAGCAGTTTATTAAGTGCTTACTATGTGCCAGGCCTGGTCCCAGGCCCTGGGGTACAACAAGTGGGACCCCCTCCCAGAGTGACCATTTAACCTCACTCCTGTACTTCTTCCCATTCTTCCAGGGCGAACATGGCCAAAGGGTTGAGTGGCGAAAATGGAAGCAGCAGAGTAAGTAGGGGCTGGGGGGGAGGGGGAGTGTCTGTGCTGGCCCTTCCCCAGGCCCTTCCAGGGGTGCACATCTAAACTTTGGGAAAAGCCACCAGGTTTGTCCGCTGTGGGTCCCACAGCACCCAAGATGGGAGGAAGGGGTCAGAAGCCCCGGGAGGCTCCTCTGGCCGCCCACCCAGCTCACTTGAGCACCTGGGCTGGCCGGACCTGAGTGGGAACCCCCACCGCACTGAAAGGTCATCATCTTCTAGACTGCTCCACGCCCTCTCCCTCCAAAGTCCCTCTTCCCTCCACCTATTGGGATGTCTTCTTATCCAGAGAAAGAGGAGAAAAAGAAGTGGAAGGATCTTAAGCTGATGAAAAAACTGGAGCGGCAGCGGGCGCAGGAGGAACAGACGAAGCGCCAGGAGGAGGAGGAGGCAGCTGCACAGAGGCAGGACCAGGGTGAGCGGACTGGGTCCTGGGCAGGGCAGAGAGTGTCATCTGGAAGGGACCTTAGACTGACCATCAACACCCCTCCCTTGCCCACAGGGAGGCCCTACACCCTGAGCGTGGCCTTGCCTGGTTCCATTCTTGACAATGCCCAGTCGCCCGAGCTTCGCACCTACCTGGCTGGCCAGATTGCCAGAGCCTGTGCCATCTTCTGTGTGGATGAGATTGTGGTGTTCGACGAAGACGGCCAGGAAGCCAAGTGAGGGGGCATTCTGCAGGGTACCAAGCTCAGGGGGAAGGGAGGGGCTGCTAGCATTGGCTTGGGCTTGCCTGCGCTGAGAACCGTGCCTGAAATGCCCCCACTGTAGTCCTGGTGGGTAGAGCTGCAAAGCAGGGTGCTGCAGCAGTCAGGTTGGGCAGACGAGCTCTTGGAGGGAACACAGAAGGCTCTTGAGCCCTGTCTTTCTCTCTCCAGGACTGTGGAAGGGGAATTCAGGGGCGTCGGCAAGAAGGGGCAGGCATGTGTACAGCTGGCCCGGATTCTGCAGTACCTGGAGTGTCCACAGTAAGGGCGGGGAAGGGCAGGCTTCCTGAGCGTGGGGGAGGGCG